CTGCGCTAGGATCCGCACATTCACTTCAAAATCATCGCCGTTGTGCTTTTTTGCCCTATGCGTACCTAAAAGAGTGTTGTGAAGAATTTTAACGTTCCCATCTAGGTGTTTTATGCGGGCACAAAGTGGTCTACCCGTTTCTCCAATATATTCCTCGCCGCATGGCTATATAACAAAGGTGGAAGCTCCAGTTCACGATCACCGACCCTTACTCTACTGTCGATACAACTGCTTCATCGTCTGTTCCACACAAGAACAGATGGATGAGTGCTTTGAATTGTTAAACCGACAGTTAGAGTATTTAAAATTTGCACGAGAAAAACAAACCGAAAACTGGCTTTCATTCTTAAACATCCAAATAAAGCTCTCAGAAAGTGGCTGTATAACAAAATGGTATCGCAAGCCAAGTAGTGAAAACATTCTAGTTCACTGCCTCTCCTCTCATCCTTCACACATGAAAAAAGCACTTATCAAAAACATGTACGGTACGGCTAAAATTGTGTGTACAGGAGAAGAGGAAAGGAGGGAATCACAAAAGCTGGCACGAAAAATAGCCATTTCCAATGGCTACGAAGTAGAAGTCAGTCGGGTTAGTGAAAAACCTAGGGTAGTTAGGGTAGTTACCTAAAATAATGTTTCGGACGTAAGTAAGATCCGTTTTAAGCTACCTTTCATATCAAATGAAGTAAGTCACGCCATTAAAAAGTGTTTAAGAAAAAGTGGTGTTGAAAATTATGTAACGATTACTGACATCCCACGCAATACCCTACGCCGTCAGTTGTTTCGCAACCGTCTCTATGATCGTCTGTGCAGCTCAGAAAACTGTACGATCTGTCCTAACGGGAGAGACGGGGATTGCATGAGTTCAGGTATAATATACTTGACTGCATGTAACACATTCGGTGAAGAACATATTGGGGAAACGGGTAGACCACTTTGTGTTCGCATAAAAGCACACCTAGATGGAAAAGCTAAAATTCGTCTAAACACTCCTCCAGGTACGCATAGGGCATAAAAGCACAACGGCGATGGTTTTGAAGTGACTGTGCGGATCCTAGCGCGGGAATCAAAAACATCAGCGCGCAAAGGCTTGAGGCGTTTTGGATAAATTTCAGAAATCCAAAGATGAACCGGAAAGACGAATGCTTCACTATCACGCGTGACCTGGCGCCCTATTTCAAAATGATATTTTGACCCCTGGGTGTGTCTTGCTTACGACCCCACGTGAGCACAGCGTGGGTCAGTCCCACTCGTAACATCACGGTGAGTAGTCTTTCTGTTCAATATGGCGTAGAACTACATTTGACCGTAGCATCCTAACCCACCATCTATTTAAAAGTTTGATCTTCATTAATAATTTAGCCTTTTTTCCACCTAATAATTAAAGTGTTCTAATCTAAAATACGCCCAGGCTCTGAGGAAGGCGAAATCGCCGAAATGTCAGCCGTCGACCGACAACACCAACGACAACAACAACGACAACGAAGACCTATACCAACCTTGCATCAGCTAGGGAAGATCAGTTTATAAGATCATATAAATAAATATATCAACTATCTATGCCGTGGTTTATAGCAAGTCGGTCTTTTGGATTGTTCTGAGTGCAGTTGTGCTGTTCTACCGATTTTTAAAAAAAGTTCAAAGCTCGAGAAAAATGGGTGATAAAAGTCTAGGTATTTTTTCATCATCAAACGACAAGGAGGTATCGTGTATCCGATTGAATTTCAGAAAAAGGCCTATGAGACCGCTTGTGAAGACAAGTGTATTGTTTGCCACATGGGCACTTCAACGTCCATATCGCGCTGTTCGCCGTACTGAATGAATGGGGGAGTCCTGCCATGGACTTCACCATGCTAAAATGATCTACAATCTTCTACACTTCTATGTTCTTCGTTTTCAACAAAAGCTGGCTGTATTCAGAATTCGTTCTGCTTATGTGTGATATGTGATCGTTGCTGATCATCACCATTCTTATCTCTTTTTTGATAAATAAGAAATAATCACTCTGTGACAAGTAAGAAGGGCTATAAATAACACGCCGGAGCAAAGGCTACGTTCTGTGGCCATTGGAGAGACAAAGTGGAGAAAAAGGACGCTCGGCCATGTAAAGAAATCGATACATTTCCATAACATTCAAGGTTTCATTCAATAAACGACATCATCTACCAGTCCACGGGAAGCCGTTGTTGGCACCATCGTCGTTCCTGAACTCTAGATTCCTACCGGTGTTCGGCATCTATAGGATACCTGACGTACAGACCTTTACTTAGTATATGTACTAATTTATTAAAAAATAATCTGCATGAAAGTAAAGATAGTCCATCCAGCAGTTTATCCATCTTTACGCCTTGACCCATAACTATTTTCTCACCAAAAAAAAAACAAGCCAACTCCAATAAGCAATTCGGGTGCGCATCGAGAGCAGATAAAGTTTACTAGTGCTTGTTTGGGTTACTCATATTTAACAGAGTTGAACATTTATATCACACAGTGTTGTTTCGTAAGAGTTCCACAATAATATGATTTCCATGAGCTGAATCGGATGCTTATGGTGATGAAAATGGGACAAAGCTGCACATTATACACTCACGATATTTTATTAAGTTTATTTTACAAAATTTACTACATAGCCCAATATCACATCTATCATAATGTGTGGATGTGATAGTGGGCTATGTAGTAAATTTTGTAAAATAAACTCATAGCACGTGCGGATGATAGCACTTGCATTTCATTCACTTCCTCTCCTCTGCCACACGTGAAAGTCTCCGAACCGTCTTTTCCAGTGGGTTCGACTGTTGCTTGAGGAACTTCGTCTTCTTTATGAATGCCATTGAATGTTGTCGAATCTACTATCTCTGGAACCCTGAGATTGATGCGTGCTGTTCCACGTGAACTAAAGAAAGTAAGCTTGTCTCAAACAAATCTGATAACAATACCTCAACCCCGGTTTGATGAGGGACTGGTGGGCCCGGGTCCGGTTCGGACTAGTGCCTGGGTATGCTGGTTCGTCAGCGTAGGAAACGGCACCACTACCACTGCGCCAAGAAAAATCATCGTGCTTGTTTTCTTCCCACCACAAAAACATTACTGGTTCTTACTATAATGACGTTCCAAATTTTTAACGGGCGCGCGGACATCCGTGCCGGTGTGTTCATGAAAACATGCATTAAGTTGCATTACCGATGATGTACAAGTTCAGACACTCAATGAAGCATGTCGGACATAGGAGTACTCCCTAACATGGTAAGCACACATCTGCTGAAGAGAGCGGAGTACAAGAGAGAAGGGCGACTATAGCCAGTTTTCTTATCCATTCCATCTCAATGTGAAAGAAAGAACCTTGGTGTTCGAAATGGATGGATGCATACAAGAAACTTCGACCTACTCGTAACTTTTCAGCAGAGGTTCTTCTACTTCTAACTACTTTTACTGTAGTCTCACTGGAATACTTTACAAATCCAGATGTAGTTTGCCGTCTGCAGTCCTTGCAGCTTAAACTCCCCGATTAACTCATGACGCCTACCCCACTGACCTCAATAATTAGCTGTCTTCATGAATGTCATTCATTGCTGGTCAACATGATTTTTCTTGGGATACCTCTGTTAGAGCGTCCCCATGTCTTTACTATGGGCAGTCGCTGATCTTTATGGATAGGAGCAAACATTCTCAGACACCTGCACTAGCAGTTTGTCGATCCAATAGACTTAGATCCCTAGAAACAGGCTGGATCGAACCAGTGAGCATGTGTGTATTGCGTGGCACGTCTAGCAAATACTCTAGGAGTGCTCCAAATATTAATTGGAAATGCATTGGAGCCATAACGACAAAAATTGTCAGTACTTCAGCCCCAACTTAGTGTTAATAACATTGAGTGTAAAATTCATTAAACACCTATTTCACCTATCGGCAAATTATTACTTAATCGGAAAGACCGACCTTCTATAGACCTCGGCATAGATTGCTGATATATTTATTTATATGATCTTATAAACTGATCTTCTTAAGCTGACGCGGATCCTAGCGCAGGAATCAAAAACATCAACGCGCAGAACCCTTGAGGCGTTTTGGATAAATTTCAAAAATCCAAAGATAAACCGGAAAGACGAATGCCTCACTATCACGAATGACCTGGCGCCCTATTTCAAATGATATTTTGACCCCTGGGTGTGTCTTGCTTACGACCCCACGTGGTCAACGCGTGGGCCAGTCCCACTTGTAACATCACGGTGAGTAGCCTTTCTGTTCAGTGTGGCGTCTGTTTGAACGTTTGATCTTCATTAACACTTTAACCTTTTTTCCACCGAATAATAAAAATATTGTAATATAAAATACGTCCAGGCTGTGAGGAAGGCGAAGTCGCCGAAACCGTTAGCCATCGACCAACAACATCAACAACAACGACAACGAAGACCTGTACTAACTTCGCGTCAGCTTAAGAAGATCAGTTTGTAAGACCATGTAAATAAATATATTACCTAATCATTCTTATACAACATATACCTGAACTTAAAAGTATATAAAAGAGAACGCGAGAACGGACTTCTTCATAAATGGTCCGAATCTACAGAAATGAGATTCACATAAAACACATATTCAATTCTTTTTGGTTTACCGCCTTAATATAGGCACTAATTATCACAAAATTAACCAAGATAGCACATGATCAACAAGAAGTAGAAAGCCGACCAAGTAGTCTACATACCCTTCTGAAATGAAATTTAGAAGAGAACTTCGCTTGAATAAAGACGATTTTCATAGAGAGACAAAATTAGGAAGGAAACTAAAGTGTCACTGTAATATACACTTTTATGATATAGTATTACTTAAATTTGGAACTTTATCAGTGATAAAGCTTCGATATTTCTGTTGAACCAGTCGAATGATATCGACATTCCGATCTTCTTCACGATTTAAGAATAATACAGTTATTTCAACCATTGCCTCCATTACAAGCGCCGGCTATAAAAAGTATTTAAAGCAATTATATTGGTAAGTAGTTACTTGTACAAACTTACAGGTGTCTCTCCATGCAGTTTCAATGTTCGACCGATGAGCGGATTAAATAGGAACGGGAAGTCAGTGAAAGTGTAGTGCTCTGCATCCCTGTAAATAACCAAGTCCATTGCTTATCGTATTACTCATGGTCTATTATCTTCTCACGGTAAGGTATTATGTGAAATACAATCCCAGTGATGGTGAGATAATTGCAAAACTTGGACCTTAGGCCAGATTTGAACCCGTGATTTTCCTCGACGGTGGCTCACGTGTTACTCACTACATCACTGAGGTCCTTGCTTCGCTCTTCTCTCAGTCAATTTTTTATCTTAACGTTTCCACCAACGAATTTTGCCTGCGTCCAAGTTTTGCAAACCAGTCCAAATTCATTAAAAAAAAAACCTTACATTCCATGAAAAGTTGAAGAAAAGCAGCGCGTGCAAAGAGATTAAAAAAACTTACTTGAAAGTATACAATAACTTCTCAGTAATATTTCGCAATTTTTGTATCCTCCCAACGTTCTCGATATAATTCCAATTCGCAGCATTTAAAAATAGCGAGGGCTGAGAAGCTCTTTCATAATGACCAGGATCCAGTGGAGATAACCAGCCATCTAACACCACAGCAGCCTGAAGATGTAATATGCGACATTACATATATGTGTACATACGAATATATATAATTTTTTTATTTTACATGATCCGTCTTCACGTCTATGGTGCGGATTCCAGAACTCCTCACATTCGATCCATTTCCTCGCATCTACTGTCCACAAAGGTCTTCCAACTCTATGTGTGGCTTCGGTTGCTGGTCGAGCAATTCTGTCTGGCGTCCTGAGATAACCGGACTGGAGCTTTCCTAATTTGATTGCAGAGATCTTTCCTCAGACAAGTTTCGTACCAATTTCCTGACCTCAGATAGGTGAGAGGCTTGACTGACCCAAAGCGGAATTGAACTAGGACCATGATTATGATGATGGACACCACTACTACTGTGCTATCTGCCCATTATATATATACACACGCATATATACACATATAAATACATATATGTATATATATATACAGTGAGGAGCTTGTAGCGCAGTGGTCACAGGCTCTCTGCAAAACATATGGGATCGATCCCCGCACCCCAGACTCACCAAACTTTCCCTCTCTCCGCGGTCGGCAAATTGATACCAGACCTGCCTGGGAGGGTAGCAGCACTGGCTCGATACATCGGTAGGCCGCCGCGAGTCATTTCAAAGGCTACGCATGCATGGCGCATCCCTCAGCGATTGATGAACGCCGACAACTTTATCCTTTATCCTTTAATACATAGCCAGTTGTTGAAACATATTCCAGCCCATCTTAAGAACAGCCAGATGTTCCTGGATCGGGTACGTAACGCGTATCCTAACAGCGCGTACATGATGGAATTTCTCGACTTTACCGCCCTTTGTAAAATTGCGTTTTATGACTCCGCTGTGCAAGTCATCTTCGACTCCTTATTCAATACGAAGGAGGAATAAACGTGTATAGTTTAACGGTCCAGCAGTTGATGACACTCTTAAAGGCGTGCCTAAACTGCTCAATCTTCGGATGCTCCGGGAGGTATTACGCACAAATGAGAGGGCTGGCAATGGGACAACGCCTGGAATCAAGCCTTTCCATTGCATTTATGTTTAAAATGGTAGTTCCCGCAACCGATCTCTGGCCATTACTCTACTGTAGATATATAGATGAACAATTTGTCATTTGCTTCATATAAGACAAAATGTACAAATGTTTTGAGTTATTGAATGAACGGTAACAAACAAAATACCAAGTTTACCCGACAGAAACCGAAAGCCGGCTTCTATTTCTGAACGATCAAATCAGCCTTACCCAAAGCGACCATTTCACCAAATGGTCCGCCAAGTCAAGCGCCGAAAACATACTGGCTCATTACCTCCCCTCTAACTTTTAACACACAGAAAGGGCACTTGTAAGAAACATGTTTCAAACATCCACTAGTTTGTGCACAGGAAAAAAACAGAACAGAACGAAGAAGCCCTTAAATTGGAGCAGCAATAGCCATTTTCAGTGGCTACGAAACGGTTGCTTCTCGGGATAAGTATGGCGGAAGAACCATGCCTCCAAACGACAATCCTAGCGAAAATAACGTCTCATTTATGCTATCCTTCATTTCCAACGAAAAAAGCACAGTTATAAAACGTTGCTTAAAAGGAGCGGGTCCAGAGAAATCGGTAGCAATAGTTAAATTATCAGCGAACATTCTACAACGTCAGAAAATTCGTAGCTGTTTACATAACCGCCTTTCTACAACGCAAAATTGTGTAATATGCTCCAACGGCAAAGATGGTGATTGCAAGAGTTCGTTTTTGCATCCCTAATCTTTTGTAGAGCATGTGGAGACGAATACATTGGCGAGACGGTCAGACCACTCTGCATCCGTATAAAATAACATCTAGTTGATAAATTTGTCACCATCTTCGCACAAGAATCCAGAACATTGGCGTGCAAAACCCTCGAAGCATTCTGGGTGAATTCTAAGACTCCAAAATGAAACGCTGACAGGAGCCTCTCATCGTCACGCGAGATCTTACACAACATCTGAGAATGATACTCAAACGTCAGAGTGGATGATTACCCTCCAATGTGAGCTCTGCACGAACGTTTTCCACGTGGAATAGTCGGTGGAAGACGTAAACAGAGCGGTGAATCTGCGAGGAAGCTGTTGTACACCTAATAAAAATTAGGTATCGTGGTTTCTCTTTTGGTTGCGGTTAACTTGAAGCCACCAAAACGTCAGCTGTTATGAACAAATAATACACGACGAGGATGCTCAGAGATTTGTTAAACTCTTGACCACAGGCGTCTCCGGTGGGGAACGTACGCACTATTACCTTTTACGGGGGCTAACGCGTTTACCACCACACCGTGCGGGTCCTTCGTTTCGCCTGTACTTAAATAGTATATAACATCAACTTCATGCTTGCTCAACAAGAAAACAGTGAATTTATAGTGCACATAGTTCCCAGGATCGACTTTCTACTAACGTCGGCATTGGATTATAAATATGTTGTTTTCTCTCTCAGCAATCACGAGGTTGTTAAACAGCATACGTTTACTTCCATACAATATCACACATATAACACAATCGTAGCTGACATTTCGGCTATATCGCCTTCTTCAGAACCGTTTTTACGTCCCTTTCATTGACGAACAGTCGCTCTGAAGAAGGCGATACTGCAGAAACGTTTGCTACGATTGTGTTGTATATGTGTTATTGTATGGTAGTAAACGTATGCTGTTTAACAACGACGCGATTGCAGAGAGAGAAAACGACGAATTTATAATCGAGTGCACATACTTGTTAAAACAATACAACAGCAAAAATACCTGAAAATCTGTAGAAAACGCCGTGGCTGCAATTGCTGTCGCACCGCCAAAAGAATGACCAGCAACGTAAGCTCGTGAAAGATCAAGCCTTCCCTATAAGTTAGTAATGGCGAATATACAGCCAATTTTATTAGCTCTAGCTTGGTGCAAACCTTCCACAAAGTCCAGTCAAAGTCTTTTCCAACAGCAACTTTATCGCTTTGTAACTGACCGAGGTTAATTTCCTCCAGTACATGAAGCGCTTTTACAGCTTCAGAAACACGTTTGCTTAACTGAAATAAAATCAAAGCTCTCTGGAGAGTAGAAGGAACCATTAGGAAACAATTCCTTTAAAAATAGCATTTCACGTAAGCCATGGAAGAAACGAGTATAAGTACATACTTGCTGAGTTCTTATTTTATGCGTGCGTTTGTCGGTATGGTCGAAGAGCCGTATTGCGAAATGACGTTCAACCAATCTACCAGATGCGGGGTCGGGAACAAGTTTAAAGGTCCAACAAGCAGAATAGTCACTGAAAACGAGATCCTGAAAAAAGAATATGACTGCAGAAGTGTTTCACTCACCTGTGTTCAATGGCAGCGGCAACGAACCCATATGAAGCAAGAGAGGAACAAAAGGTGGAGTAGAACTGACGAGAACCTGCTAAGCCATGAGAGAAAACAATAACGGGAAATGCGTCTTTCACTTGTTGACCAGAAGACCGTAAGTGACGAGCGAGTTTAGCACGCCCAACGCATGCCAACCTAAAACTACGGAGCGTTTGAAACACGGGTAATTAGAAAATAAACAGAATGGAGACCTAGAGAATTCTACATCATAATCTGAGAAAAAATTGGAGAACCAACAACCTTGTTTCGCCAATAATCCAATTCAAAATGTATTGCAGTCGACCAGCCGACTGTTTCAAATAAGAAGCAAGCCCAATGACATATTCTGGGCGATCTATCCAAAGAGGATGATCGGATTCTTTTGTCCGATTGCTTACTCTCTATAATTCAACGAAGATGTAGCTAACAGCCTTGAAAAGATAATACTACTTTTGAGGATCCAATGTGTACTAGAGATTAACGGTAAGTCCCATTTCTTATTTTTATTCTCTATTTACTTATTTATTTTTTATTTACATCTTCCCAACGGTTTACCCTCTCATCGTGGCTGGAAGATGTTCCTGGGTGTAGGGCTGCACTGTACAGCGGGGAATTCCATTAACACGACAGGGCCTCCTAAACTGAGGAGTCCGGCGTTCCCATCAGGAAGCCTAGCTAAGAATAATCTTATATCAGGATCCACCACCGTCCTGGTATCAAACTGCTCGCATGGTAGCAAATCTCCCTTTGATTCACAAGGGCAGCGATTGACGCTAGTGGTGACCACCTGGGAGAGACTTTGGCTGGGCTGACCTCGGGGCTAAAGAGAACCATAGTGGCTAAGTCAGCAAAACTCCGCAAAAATAGAAATTATGCTTGTGCCCTCACAACCAGTGAAGACGGGTCGTCCAAGAAACCAAGTTAGCAACTGTTTACTTACATCAACAAACTCCGTGACATATATAGTCATTACAGTTAACTGCAAAAGGTAGCTGCTTTTCTCAGTAAACTCACATCCTTATCGGTCGGATAGTAGATTCGCATGAAAACGCCAGTGTCACCGTCATTTGAGTCGGTGATCATCAAGTCAGCGCATCCTGCCGCATAGGGGCCAGAACCAACAAGTGGTAAGATCGAAGCACGACTGGTGACAGACCACAGAGCTCCCATTGATCATGAATACCAATAAAAACACCGAAAACCTCAAACATAAAAAAAAACACGCTGACTTACTAAAATAACGGGAATAGCAGCCGCCAGATAAAAAGCTTCGATGAACATGAAGCAAATAGTGCAATGGAATACCTAAGAAAAAAAAAACACGTTTCAATCACGATGATGCTGAGATATTTCCAAAACTCCGAACCGCAGGTGTCTGCGGTGGGGAACGAACGCGTTATTGTCCTTTCCGGGGAGTAACGCGCTCACCACCACACCATGGGGGTCCTTCACTTCGCCTGTCTCTCAGCTAGTTCTGTCGATCACTGCCATCAGCAATCACCCGTGAACGGAATTGATTGGGAAGCCCAAATCCGCATTGAACAATGATGAGTGATTGATGATGGCAAAAGATCGATAGAACTAGCTGAGAGACAGGCGAAACGATGGAACCGCATGGTGTGGTGGTGAACGCCTTGCTCTCCGGAAAAGACAACAGCGCGTTCGTTCCCCACAGCATACATCTGCAGTCCCAAGTTTTGCAAATATCCCAGCATCATCGTGGTTATTTCACAAATAATACCCTGCCGTGAAAACTAGTAAAAAGCAGTGAATGAAAAAGTTAACACGCTTCAAAGTTCAGAAGAAAGAAAATTACAGATGTTTCCAAGGTGGATGACATATAAAACGAACGAAGACGGGCATAAAACGGTCGACGACTTTCAGTACCGATTGTCCAACATTACAATGTGAAAACCTCAAACTTTTCATGATCAACATATCTTGTGGTCGTGTAACTTTCTTAAGAAGGCAACAACAAACCTTATGAGTTATATAAAACATAAAATGTCATACGAAGTCTTTATATTGCTGTTAACCAAACACATGGTGTTATTTTACTTCTTTACTACGATGGACCTCCCAACGGTTTACCGCCCCATTGTGGCTGAGAGGTGTTCTTGGGTGTCAAGCTGCGATGTGCAGCGGGGTGATCCTTTCCACGGCAGAGCCTCCCAAGCTGAGAAGGAGTCCGACGTTTCCATCGGGAAGCTCAGCTAAGAGTAAACCAATACCAGAATGCACCACTGTCCTGATATCAAATTAGTCGCATGTTGGCAAATCTTCCCTTGATCCACAATGGTGGCGACTGCCTGTGGTGGTGACGACCTGAGTCAGGCTTTGGCTAGGTCAACCTAGGGACTACAGGAAACCATAATGGCTAATTATACCAGCAAAACTCCGAAAAAATGGTAATTTTGCTGGTGTCCGCACAACCAGTGAGGAAGGCTATCCAAGTATCCAAGTAAGTAAGTGTTACGATAAAGCTGACGTTTCCGCCTTTCGCAGAGCCTAGAATGATCAACTTGACCGCAATCTACCCAGACAAACACCTCCACCTTAGTTTAGAATTTTCTTTTGTTTGGTTATGGAAGTCTTTCGATGAGTAGATTGCAGTCAACTTGACCTTTCCAGACTCTGAGGAAGGTGAAATCCCCGAAATTTCAACTTCATGGTAACAACGAAAGAAAATAACATCTCGTTTTTGCTCAACAGGAGCATAGAGAATTATGTGATTAATGCCGATGTTAACATAAAAGTTGGTCATAGGAATTAGATAAAGTAGTTTTACATAAAATATTAAAGCTCAGAACTTACCCCTTCTTACCATACATTAATTTGCGCAATTTCTGCATCCCCAACCTAGGCGCGCGTGTGGCGCAGTGGTTGGAGGCGCTCTGCAACGCACATATGGGATCGATCCCGGCGCTAAGTTGGTACTAGACTTGTCGAAAACGATGGCAGCACAGGTTCGATGCATCGGTAGGCCACCGCTAGTCATTGTAGACGCCAGATATGCATTCAATCACCTCCAATGATTTTAACGAAGTCGAATGCATTGCGCATCCCTCAACGATTAATCAACACTGAGCTTTATTCTTTATTTATTCTTTAATTTCTACAGTTGCAGATTCATTTTTATAAAGTTTTCGATAGAGCGAAACGCGATATCACTGAAACTTTACTGCTTTCTTCATTATGGAAAATGCTGGTAGAGTTAATTCCCAAGACCGACATTTTCTTAACCTCGGCACTGATAAATAAACTCACTGTTTTATTGATATGCAAACATAAGGTTGTGCTGAACAGTTTCTTCACAAAAGCTGATGTTTCATCGAATTTCGTGTTCTTTAGAACCTGCAAAGAACAAACGAAAGGAAGGAAGAAAAAGAAGAAGAGAAGAAAAGAGGGAAAAGAAGAAAGGAAAAAGGTCACATCCGTCGAAACGTCAGTTTTTGTGAAAAAACATTTCAGTACAACCTCTGAAGTGTATACAAAAAAACAGCGAATTAACAGAAATAATTTTCGTATCCTTATTGAGCAAACACAAGGTGTTATTTTGTTTCTTTATAGACGAACACGCTGGCGTTTCAGACTAATCTCCCTTCCTCAGAGCCTTGAAAGGTCAAGTTCACCACAATCTACCCAGCCAAACACTTCCATAACCAAACACAGAAAATGCTAAACTACGATGGAGGTGAGAGAGAGGCGAAATGAAAGAGACGCGTGGTGTGGTGGTGAATGCGCTAGCCCCCAAAAGGATAATAGCACGTTCATTCCTCACAGCAGACACCTGCGGAACGGAATTTTGCGAATATCTCGGCGTCGTTGTGCTTGTATTTCGCATAATACTCTGCCATAAGAAATTGTAGTAGGCGGTAAATAAAAAGTAAAACATCAGGATGGTGGTTTAGGTGGGTTGATTGCGGTCAACTTGACCTTTCCAGTCTCCAAGAAAGGCAAAATCCGTTGAAATGTCAGCTTCATCATAATAAAGGAATAAAATGACTTCTCGTGTTTGGTCAACAAGAATATAAAGACTTGTTCGATCAACGCTAAGGTTAACAGAAAGCCTATCGTGGAAACATAAAAAATTTTTTGATCAAATAAACTGAATAAATAAAATTCTGAGCGTCACGTATTTTTGAATGATAGGCAGAATATTATAGGTGCACGAACAGTGCAGTGGTTGGAGGCATCACTCCGACACACACGTGGAATCGATCCCCGCGCCCATGGCCCACCAAGCATTCTATCCTTCAAGGGTCGGCAAATTGGCACCAGACTTGTATGGGAGCATACCAGCACTGGCTGGATACATCGGTGGATCACCGCGAGTCATTGTAAAGGCCAGATATGCATTCAATCACCTCCAACGATACTTAATGAAGTCCAACGCCGAGAGCCGTATCCTTTTTTTAGGCAGAATATTTGTGTTTAAGCCTCCAGCTTATGAAGTAGAATATTTCACTCCGAAGAAGCTACTATTTGGAATTCATTCCTGTCACCAAGCGCAAAACACTCGTTATTGTCAGAAAATCGTACACAGGTACTATATAAAGTATAATGACCGTTAGTAAATCCTGGAAAGGTTCGACAGGAAACACGTGGGAGCTTGGCGTAAGGTCCTAAACAGGACCAGGAGAAAACTACATTAGTGACTTCGTATGGTCCAAAATTTGATGGGACCCACAACCCTTAACAAAACCCTTGACATAATGCTACTTTCAATGTAGTGACTGTGAATATTGTTCGAGCAAAAAGCCGACGAAAGTGAGTTCGAACTCCGAAACTCATGGACAAGCATAGGACAAGCTGGCCGGCTATAGGCCAATCGTACGTTTACTTAGGTAATGATCTCTATCATAGATTTGGAAAAGCACTAAATATAGTCGTCAACCACATGCGACTATAATCAGCTGTTCTAAACTTCCTCATTGGAAGTCACGAAAAAGCGGCTCTGAAGAAGGCGATACTGCCGAAACGTCAGCTAGTGTTGTATTGTATTGCGTTTCTCTATGGAAGTAAATGTATGCTGTTTAAAAACCTCGCGATTGCTGAACAAGAAAACGACACATTCATATTCCAATGCCGAGGTTAAGAGAAAGTCGATCCTGGGAACTAAATATAGTTTCCAAATCGAATTAGAGTAGCTGTGACAAGCGTAAGAAGTTAAATAACCGTAACTAGACACAAAACAGATTAAACTGGTTTCCAAAGACCTGGAATTCTTGGAATGATATCTCTTGAAGAATTGCAAAGTAGAGCTCCTGAATCTATATTTCTTAAAATTTTCCACAAAGGAACAGTTCAAAAATGTATGAAACGTTTACCTAATCTCCTGTAAGGCGTGCGGAGAAGAATACATTGGCAAAACGGGCAGACCCCTCTGTGTCCGCATAAAAGAACACCTAGCCGGCAAACGCCAACCAAATACCCCATTATGCACGCACAGGACCCAGAGACATAACGGGGAGGACTTTGAAGTACGTGTCACGATCCTCGCACGGGAATCGAGAACACAAGTGCGCAAAACTCTCGAGGCGTTCTGGATTAATTCCAGAAATCCGAAAATGAACAGCAGGGAAGAATGCCTCATTGTCACGCGTGATATAGGGCAGTATATAAACCTATTATTCTGATGGGAGGGGCACGTTACGCTTCGAGGTGAATTCTGTGCGGTTGGTCTTCACGCGATATACTCAGTGGAAGACTCATAGAAAGCGGTGAGTGTGCGGAGCTGTGTTCAATGTGATTGAAATCTTGGTTTGGCGTTTTCTCTGTTTGGTTGTGAAGGTGTTTGGCCGAATACGTTGCTGTCGATGTGACTTTTCCAGGCTCTGAGGAAGGCGAAATCCGCCGAAACGTCAGTTTTACGTGAGTGGGGAAGTGGAATAGCACCTCTTGTTTGCTGAGCAGAAGTGGAAAGAATTGTATGAAACGTTGTCAAGAACTCTTAGTGAACTATCATCTCACCCACCGTTCCGATAAGGACCGTTGAGAAATGTCCAACTATAGAACGTCAGTACTTACTTGGATACTTGGATAACCCTTCTCTACTGCTTGTGAGGGCCTCAGCATAATCTCCATTTCTTCGGAGTTTTGATGGTTTAGCCATTGTGATTCTCCGGAGCCATGAGGTCTACTAAGCTAAAGTTTGCCCCAGGTCGTCA